TTGATGAGAGATAGTACTTTATAGTCTTGTAAGTTTTTTTCTGGCTTTAGTATCATGCATGGTAATGCTGGTCTTATGGAATGAAATGCAAATTATTCATTTCTTTTCAATTTCCTGGAAGAGTTTGAATAGAATTATTTTTAATTATTCCTTAACTGTTTGACAGAATTCCCCAGTGAAGCTATTTGGGCCTGGAGCTTTCTTTGTGGGAAGGTTTTTAACTGTAAGTTAAATTAAAATAATAGATATAGGGCTGTTCAGATCAATTTCTTTCTGAGTTAGCTTTGGTAGTTTGTGTTTTTCAGGAAGTTGATCCATTTCATCTAAAATGTGAAATTTAAGGGGCGCCTGGGTGGCGCAGTCGGTTAAGCGTCTGACTTCAGCCAAGTCACGATCTCGTGGTCCATGAGTTCCAGCCCCGCGTCAGGCTCTGGGCTGATGGCTCAGAGCCTGGAGCCTGTTTCCGATTCTGAGTCTCCCTCTCTCTCTGCCCCTCCCCCGTTCATGCTCTGTCTCTCTCTGTCCCAAAAAAATAAATAAACGTTGAAAAAAAAAATAAATGTGAAATTTAAGATTTTCTCTTCCATCGGTTTTAAGAAATTTAACTAGGATATGCCTTGGAGTAAGTTTCCTTTGTGTTTACTGTGTGTGTGTGTGTGTGTGTGTGTGTGTGTGTGTGTGTGTTTAAACTTGTTGGATTTGTTGGTTTACAGTTTTCATCAAATTTGGAAAATGTTGGCCATTCTTTTTTCTTTTTATTGTCTACCTACCATGCCTTCCCACTTTTCATGGACTCCAGTTATACATATGTTAGGCCGCTTGAGTTATCCTATACCTTGTTGATGCTCTGTGCATTTTTTCTCTTGGTTTTCTATTTTGGTTTTCTTGGTTTCTATTGATCCGTCAAATTCACAAGTCTTTATTTCATTGTTATAATATCTAATCTGCTGTTAGTCTCATCTAGCGTATTTTTCATAGAAGACACTAGTTTTCTTGTGTAGAAGTTCACTGTAAGTCTTTTAAAAAAACATATTCCATGTCTAACACTCTCAAATTACCTTTAGCTTCTTAAACACATGGAATATAGTTATAATAAGCACTTCAATATCTTTGTCAATGCTGTCATTCATGCTACTTAAGAGTTAGTTTTTATTAGTGTTTTTCTTAATTAAGGTTTACATATCCTGCATCTTTGCTGCCTGGCAATTTTTAATTATAAATTGTACCTTGTTAAGTGGTGGATATTTTTGTATTCTTAACAACTGTTTTTGAGCTTTTTTCTAGAATGTGGTTTAGTTACTTAGAAACAGTTTGATCTTGTTGAGTATTGCCTTTAATCTTTGTTAGGTAGAGCTAGAGTTACTTTTATTCTAGGACTACTTTTTCTCTAATGAGGCAAAACCCTCTGAGTACTCTACGCAGTGCCCCATGAGTTAAAAGGTTTTCTGCTTTGAAGAGTGGAAATAGGCCGGATACTCCATGCTCCATGAGCCCTGCATATTGCTCCTCTAATCCTGTCAGGTGATTCTTTCCCACCTCTAAGGACTTTCCTCACATGAGTGCCCTGATCAGAACTCAGCTGAATATAGGAGGCAGATTTTTCTGCAGGACATACTCTGGAGTTCTTTTTCTGCACAGTTCTGTCTTCTCTCATACTGTGCTCTGTGAGGTCTAGCTACTATGGCCTACTTGAACTCCCAGCTTCATTTCTCCAATTTAGGGCCACTTGTGGGCTGTGCTAGGTTTGCCCTCTCTGCATAGTGGCCGGGAAACTCTCCAGGCAGGAACTTGGGGCAATTGTAGGACTCAGTTAATTTATTTCCCATCTCTCAGGTGTCACTTGTTCTTCATTGCCTAATGTCCAGTGTTTTGAAACCATTGTTGTATTTATTCTGTTTTTTCACTTGTTTTCAGTTCCTCTTATTCCATCTTGACCCCAATTAAAAGTGCCAGGATTATAGGTGAAAGGATCAAGTTTGTATTTTATTTTATATTTATTTTTTAAATATGTATTTTAAATTTACATCCAAATTAGTTGACATATAGTGCAATAATGATTTCAGGAGGAGAATCCAGTGATTCATCTTCTGTGTGTAACACCCAGTGCTCATCCCAGCAAGTGTCCTCCCTAATGCCCCTTGTCCATTTAGCCCATCCCCTCACCCAAAACCCCTGCAGCAACCCTCAGTTCTCTATATTTAAGAGTCTTTTGTATTTTGTCCCCCCTCCCTGTTTTTATATTATTTTTGCTTCCCTTCCCTTATGTTCATCTGTTTTGTATCTTAAATTCCACACGAGTGAAGTCATATGATATTTGTCTTTCTCTAACTGACTAATTTCACTTAGAATACACTCTAGTTCCATCCAATTTGTTGCAAATGGCAAGATTTCATTCTTTTTGATTGAGGAGTAATACTTCATTGTATCTATATACCACATATTTGTTTTTAAATGTTTATTTTTGAGAGAGAGAGAGAGAGAGAAACAGAGTGTGACCGGGGGAGGGGCAGAGAGAGGGACACAGAATCTGAAGCAGGCTCCAGGCTCTGAGCTGTCAGCACAGAGCCAAATGGCCCGATGTAGGGCTTGAACTCCTGAACTGCAAGATCATGACCTGAGCTGGAGTCCAATGCTTAACTGACTGAGCCGCCCAGGCACCCCTCTTCTTTATCCATTCATCTGTCGATGGACATTTGGGCTCTTTCCATACTTTGGCCATTGTCAATAGCACTGCTATAAACATTGGGGTGCATGTGCCCCTTCAAATCACCACTCCTGTATCCTTTGGTTAAATACCTAGTAGTGCAATTGCTGGCTCGTAGGGTAGTTCTATTTTTAATTTTTTGAGGAACCTCCATACTGTTTTCCAGAGTGCGGTGTTTTCCACACCAGTTTGCATTCCCCCCAGCAGTGCAAAACGGTTCCTCTTTCTCCACACACTCGCCAATATCTGTTGTTGCCTGACTTGTTAATTTAACCATTCTTACAGGTGTGAGGTGGTATCTCTTTGTGGTTTTGATTTGTATTTCCCTGATGATGAGTGATGTTGAGCATTTTTTCATGGGTTGGTTGGCCATCTGGATGTTTCTTTGGAGAAGTGTCTGTTCAGGTCTTTTGCCCATTTCTTCACTGGATTATTTGGTTTTTGGGTGTTGAGTTTGACAAGCGATTTATAGATTTTGTATACTAACCCTTTATCTGGTATGCCATTTGCAAATATCTTTTCCCATTCCATCAGTTGCGTTTTAGTTTTGCTGATTATTTATGTATCCTGTGCTGTGGAGAAGATTTTTATCTTGATGTGGTACCAGTAGTTCATTTTTGTTTTTGTTTCCTTGGCCTTCAGAGACCCGTTAAGTTAGAAGTTGTTGCAGCCGAAGTCAAAGAGATTGCTGCCTGTATTCTCCTCTAGGATTTTGATGGCCTCTTGTCTTATGTTTAGGTCTTTCTTCCATTTTGAGTTTATTTTTGTGTATGGTGTAAGAAAGTGGTCCAGGTTCATTTTTCTGCATGTTGCTGTCCCGTTCTCCCAGCACCATTAGCTAAAGAGACTTTTTTCCATGGGATATTCTTTCCTGCTTTGTTAAAGATAAGTTGACCGTACGTTTGTGGGTCCATTTCTGAGATCTATTCTGTTCCATTGATCTGAGTGTCTGTTTTTGTGCCATTACCATACTGTCTTGATGATTACAGTGTTGTAATACAGCTTGAAGTTCGGGATGGTGATATCTCCTTCTTTGGTTTTCTTTTTCAAGATTGCTTTGGCTATTCGAGGGCTTTTCTGGTTGCATACAAATTTTAGAATTGTTTTTACTAGCTCTGTGAAGAATGGTGGTGTTATTTTGATAGGGATTGTTTTGAATGTGTAGATTGCTTTGTGTACTGTTGACATTTTAACAATATTTGTTCTTCCAAACCATGAGCATGGAATGTTTTTCCATTCTTTTGTGTGACTTCTTCAGTTTCTTTCATGAGCTTTGTATAGTTTTCATTGTATACATCTTTTATCTCTTTGGTTAGGTTTATTCCTAGATATTTTATGACTTTTGGTGCAGTTGTAAATGGGATCGTTTCCTTGATTTCTCGCTTCATTATTGGTGTATAGAAATGCAACCAATTTCTGTGCATTGATTTTATATCCTGCAACTTTGCTGAATTCATGTATCAGTTTTAGCAGTTTTTCAGTGGAGTCTTTTGGATTTTCCACATAGAGTATCGTGTCATCTGTGAAGAGTGAAAGTTTGACTTCTTGCCAATTTTGATGCCTTTTATTTCTTCGTGTTGTCTGATTGCTGAGGTAGGACTTTCAACACTATGTTGAATAACAGTGATGAGAGTGGACATCCTTATCATGTTCCTGACCTTAGGGGGTAAGCTCTCAGTTTTTCCCCACTGAGGGTGATATTAGTGGTGGGTTTTTTTTGTGTTGGCCCTTATGATCTTGAGGTATGATCCTTCTATCCCTACTTTCTTAAGGGTTTTTAATCAAGAAAGGATGCTGTATTTTGTCAAATGCTTTTCTGCATCAAATTTGTATTTTAAAAAATATATTTTAAAACTTAGATCTTACTATTCCATTACATGCTTTTCTGTAATGCCTCCTAGTTACTGCCAATTACTAAAGTTGACTGTTTTTGTTTGTTTAATCCATTTCTTAATCCCCAGTAATTTAACTGTTAAAATAAAAACAGACTTCCCCCAAGCAAAACTAAAAAATGAAAGAAGAAAAAAAAAATAACAACCAAGTTTCTAAAGTATATGTTGTAGAGTAAAAAGAAGTGAGCAAAACCTTTTTTTTTTTTTTTTTTTTTTTTTTTTTTTTTTTTTTTTTTTTTTAAACCTCTTTGGTTTGTATTGCTGAGAGGCATTGCTATAGGGCTGGTGAGTAGAAACCTAAGATAATTCAGTCTGAGATGTGTCAAGGGAAGAACAACTGAACAGCAACAGTTTTATAAATAAGTATTTCCAGAGGTATTTATAACTTATTTTTTGTGTTCCAGATAATCCAGGAGAAGAAAGATGAGCTTTATCTATGGACTGCAATCTGCTACTAGAAACTGTGTTTTCTTCCGATTTCATTTGCTGACCAACTGGAGACTGTGTAACACACTAGCTGTCACCTCACCAGATTGCCATCAAGTACAAATTACTCATACAGTTAATAAGTATCAGGGTCTGGGAGTACAGCAGTGTGATAGGTTGACTTTTCTGCCTAAAAATTTTTATTCTTATAGGACTCTTAATACCAAAAGACCAGGATGCCTCTTGAGCGTGAGCCATAAAGAAATTTGGATGGTTACCCCAACATGTGGTGCACGGAATGACTCTTTTTCAAGACAGCTCCTGATAGAAGAAGTTGCAGGAGCTCCTTTTCTCTCAGTATTGCGTCCCCTAAAGTGTCTTCGCATGAGAGAGAGAGACATCAGGAGTTTCCACACTTCTCCTCGGTTTCAAGCCGCTCCGGTTCCTCTCTTGTTGATTATTCTTAAACCAGTGCAGAAACTATTTGCAATCATTGTAGGCAGGTAAAAAGCTTTAAAAAAAACAAAAAACAAGCAAAAAAAAACTTAAAAGGTATTTGTAAAACTATACTTTTAAAGAAAACTTGTTAGATTTCCCTCCCATATTTAGCTCAAAATTAAGTTTCCAAACGGTTGGTTCTACCCAGTTTTGTTAGAAATGATTTAATCTTGAAATAATTTACTACATATTATAGTATAAAAATGAGATCTTTAAAAAATTATATAGGACACTTTTTAAACGATCTTCTATTTTGATTACAAGAATGAGAAATGTTGGGTATAGTTTGTAAGAACAATACTTAAAAACATAACTTTTTATTTTACGAAATCTGAGGCAACGGGTCATGAAACTGGGAGTTCACTTATTTAAGAATAGGCTCATTCCTAGCCAAGTTAATGCTTAATTAGCATTTATTTTTCAGTTCTATTTCCATCACATCTTTGTTATTTTCTTTTGGGTAGTCCTTCATAATAATTATGTTTTCACAGCTAAATAGTACCTTTTATTTAATTTAAACCTCCCCCCATAATTAATCTTGTTTTCTCTTATTTGCTCCATCAAGAATGAAGAAAGGTAAAGTTAAGCATTGTCTCGTCATTCTTACATTTGATGACTGTGTAGGCCTTTCTAGCTCTCTTACTCTCATACTAACCAACCCAGTTTTCTGTGATTTGACACTGGCACCCAGAAAATATACAGTTGTGTTAGCTCTAGTTGTAGGTAACGACTGTCAGAGAAGACCAGAGCTAGACAACAGTTAAAGCAGTAAACACAGATTTATGCAGAACTTTTGCAGTAGGGGAAGAGAGACCTAAGTATAGAACCAGAGTTAATCTGAATATACCATGGGCACGTGGGAATTTATAGCTGAGAAGCAGGGTGGGGTTTGGTGGATAGAAAATTACTCAGACGAAGCATCAGGAATAAGTGGGGATTCTCCCTAACCTGACCCCACTAGGTTTCTTGCTGAAGGCAGGTGAATGTGATCAGACATCATCTGGAGGCTGGAGAATGATGAGGAACTCGATCAGGTATCGAGGGTGATAAGATATGGAGGATGGGGAAATTCTGTTTAACCTGACTTAGCAGGATTCTTGCTAAACCTGGACAATGCAGAGATGAATACAGAAGTCCAGAAGTGAGGCCTAGTTGAAAAAAGTTCAGGGGAGCCTGAGTAGAGTCTGGTGCAAGAGAGGATCTTTGTCATAACTCAGCCCAGGGTCTTAGGCCAATGGCTCTTTCTCATCCTTTTTAATATTATTTTTAACTTTTTGTTGTTGTTTCCATTGTAATCACTTAACATTTTCTTTTAAGCTGTGTTTTCATCATACATTGAAGGCAGATGATAAGTCATATGAAGTTTTAAATGGGAAATAAATATACTTCATAGTCTGGCCTAAGTCTTTTCAGGTTGGGACACTTTGAGGCATCTTAGGAGTGTCACTTAATAAAATTAAAATAACTTGAAGTTATTTTGTAAGATGGATTTTGTCAAGAGAATGATGTATATATTGTAAACTTTTGTTGTGATTTCACAGATGAACTCACTAGGAAAAATTTTGTCTTGTTGTTGAAAACATTGCTTGTCAAAATGTCTGTGATCTCTGATAACCAGCAGGGAGTATTGTTGCCTGGTAGAAATTAGACCTCCATGTGTTAACTACACAGTCTCTCATTTTCTTGTTTACGATGTTTATGCCCTTATTACCTTTCCTTTATTATGTTCTTGAGGGGATAGTGAAGTTTCTGCTGGTGAGCAGTGTTTATTTCTAAAATCAATGCTGAGGTAGTTTCCCTTGTACCTTGCTGAAGTACTGGCAGATTGTGCTGGAAGTCTGATGAGCAGGGGGAGTGAATTGTGGTTACAGGTATAGATGATTGTGCTGTAACCCCTCAGATGTTTATTTGAACAGATCATCCCTATCAAGTAGTTAAGTACCCATACTCTAGGATCACATGGTCTTCCTTGCCTGGTTTTCCCTTATCACCTCTGCAACCTTGGACAAGTCCTTGGACAGTTCTCTCTGTCTCAGTTTTATCTTTGGTAACAGGGTTTTTGTGAAGATGAAGTGAGATGACATATGTATAACAATTAGAACAGCAGCTTGCATGAGGTAAACAGTCAATAAATGTTAAGTAGTGGTAGTTGTAAAATAGCTACTCATTTAGTGTTCACCTTTAAAATAAGAAACTTTAAATGAGCTTTAGAATTTTTATAACTGGTTACTTTTTCATCATTCAGCTAAGAATTTTATAAATGGAGAAAACCCATCTATACAGAGAAATATTTCACAAAAATTCAAGTATTTGATGGCATAGAATTCTAGTATAAGATTAAGTTTTGTTGATATGTGCTGATACTACTGTCAGAACTTTCAATTTTTCTTTCTGCTCTAGGGGCATAAGGAAATGGTGGCAGGCACTTCCTCCTAACAAGAAGGAACTATTTAAAGAAAGTTTAAGGAAGAATAAATGGAAGTTATTCCTTTGTTTCAGTAGTTTTGGATTGCTCTTTGTAGTGTTTTATTTTACTCACCTGGAAGTGAGTCCTATCACAGGAAGGAATAAGCTACTATTATTGGGGAAAGAACATTTCAAACTTTTATCCGAACTGGAATATGAAGCAGTAAGTAGTAAGAATTGTTAATAATTAGATTGCTTAATATAATACTCAAAGCGGCAAAGTTTCTTAAGTATGAAAGATGCACTACTTTTTTATGTTAGTCTTTGATAGAAAATTCGCATTTTCCCAAAAGGCCTCCAAAGTTTCATACTTACTATTCCTGCTACCTACATTGCATTTCCTTTCATTCATCTAGCTAATTCCTGCTCATCACATGCCACCTTAAATGTCACTTTCTCAGGAAAGTCTTCCTTGATTATCCAGACTGGGTTAGGCAGGTTGGCTACATTATGCTCTAGTGGGAATCCTTCATACAGACTGAATTATGAATCAGCTCATTTATAATTGTGTCCAGTGCTTGGCTATATTGGGGTCAGGTCTCCTGCTTTTATTTTCTCTTTGCATACTGTACTTTTCCTTTAAATCACTTATCATGGAGGTAACATAATTGTTATTTGCATAATTATTTCTTTACTGATCTGTCTCCTTTGTTAGACTAAGCTCTTTGGGAACCAAGACCCTGTCTGTTTTTATCATTTTATATTAAGTACTAGCACAATGTAGAAGGTAGTGTTTAGTACATATTTTTTGGATAAGTAGATATGTAATATGAATTTTTGTACCTTGAAAGTAATGTAGAATACGGTAATTTTTTCCAAAACCTCATTTTTGGCAATTATATTTTTTGAATGCAAAATCAAGTTGGAATTCAGAAGCCTTAAGTCTTTTTTTTTTTTTTTTTAATGTTTTTTATTTTTATCAAGAGAGTGCAAGCAGGGGAGGGGCAGAGAGAGAGGGAGAAAGAGAATCCCAAGCAGGCTCTGTGCTGCTAGCACAGAGCCTGTGGTGGGGCTCAAACTCAGGAAACATGAGATTATGACCTGAGCTGAAATCAAAAGTTGGACGCTTAACTGACTGAGCCACCCAGGAGCCCCAAGAAGCCTTACTTCTTTAGAAAGTACAGTAACTCAGATAGTTAAGCATTTTGTACCACTAGTGAGTTTCTTGAGGACAGACTCTTTCTCCAGTTGTGAGCACACACCTAGTATATACTCGATGAGTTTATTGAATTGATGTCTCATGGTTTCACTTGACCACTTTGGTGAAGTCTTTATGTCTTTTTATTTCAGTTAAGCTTCTGAGTTTGTCAGTGGAAAGTTACCTTAAAAAAGAAATAACAATGTTTTTTCACAAAAAAGATGCATCTTTTCTAGTAGAGTTTTTACAGAGATTGGAGATGTTTCTAGGGTAGTCTTGTCTGAAGCAGGTTTGAGGAGAGTGTTCTGGAAAGATTGAGATAGGCCTAGTGTTAAATTTGTGTATCTTCCACCATTCGTCTCACTCAGAAGCTTTAAAAAATAATATATATGTACATAATATTCTTTTTTTTTAGCCTACAAATAACCTGCTTGATACTAAAATTCAAGCACATGTTCCTATAGGGATATGGTAAAGTACTATAATTATATATAATTTTGCTTGTTTTATTTCCTTCATATGGGTTAATAGTTGTTTCAGTTTATTTACATTGGTGACTTGTGCTTTTAAAAAATGGTATTGATATAAAGACTATTGCAGATTCAATTCTACAAAATCATCTGTTTTTAATACATCTAAGGGAAGAAGATTCTAAACTTCTTGATCTATATGTGAACGAAGCTACACATTTTATGGAAATTAATGTGATATTTTCAGAACATCCTTAATTTCCCTATACTTGAAAGGGTTTCTCATGAATATAGCTTCAGAAAGTGTGTTCATACAGTGGCTAGTCCTACTCTACATGGTGTAGAGAAAATGACATGCCTGTTAGTTCTAAAATTTGAGTAATTTCCTATCATTCTGTGTGAATAAAACACTTAAAATTAATGAAATGTCCTTTTTTTAAAAATTTTTTTAATGTTTATTCATTTTTGAGAGACAGAACAGGATTTGAGCTGGGGAGGGGCAGAGAGAGAGGGAGACAGAATCCAAAGCAGGCTCCAGGCTCTAGGCTCCAAACTGTCAGCATAGAGCCCGACGCGGGGCTCAGACTCACTGACCTCAAGATTATGACCTGAGCCGAAGTTGGATTCCTAACCAACTGAGCCACCCAGGTGTCCCCAAAATGTCCTTTTCTTTTTAGAAGTTTAACTTTTTAAATTAAGTATAGGGTGTTTTTCTAGTCAGTGGGTTATGAAAGTAATTTTCTTTTATATTGTTCTTCCTTATATGAAATCTTTGTTTCCTAGGCAGTATTTTGTTTTCTAAAATATTTAGGAAAGTAGAAATAATATTTAAACATTTTATTTGTTTATAGGCTAATAGAAAAGATGAAAGTTTTATTTCAACCAATTTATATGAAAAATCTTAGTTATTAGAATTTATTCCATTTGTGAGAAAGCACATTGCCTTTGCATGAATAATTCAAATTTAAGAATTGAAGTGTTTTGTATATGTAGATTTTTCCATAATTAAAAATTAAAATGTTCAACAATAAGTAGCCATTTAACTCTTCATGAAGCAATATAAACATTTTGCTGAGCTAAAACTCTCTTAAAATAAAGATGACTTTTTAATCTTTCAGTGGATGGAAGAGTTTAAAAATGATATGCTAACTGAGAAGGATGCCCGATACCTAATGGTTAAAGAAGTGGTTTATCATTTGATTGAGTGCAATAAAGATATTCCAGGGATCTCTGAGATCAATTGGACTATTCATGTGGTTGATTCCCCAGATATAAATGCCTTTGTGCTTCCAGTAAGTAAATGTTCTCCCATCTAACTTTAAATCGTAAATTTAATATCCTTGTTTTTTTAAGGTATTCCAATTACTTACATTATTTTCTTTATGGTGCAGAATGGACAAGTGTTTATCTTCACTGGGCTTTTAAATAGTGTAACTGATATTCATCAACTTTCCTTTCTTCTGGGCCATGAAATAGCACATGCAGTACTTGGGCATGCTGTAAGTACCTAGGATGAATGCTCAGTTGTTGAAATAACTGCTTTGAAGTGTGCAAGTTAAATCTTGTAAAACTGAATCTTTTCAGTTTTCTTTTTCTTTAAAAGATGGTATTTTAGTTTTTAGCAGTTGACTTACTCTGTTACCTGAAAAAATATGACTGGCTAATTTTGAGAATTTTTATGGTCTTTAGTATTTGATACCTGAATAATTAGTGTTTCTGTTAAGTACTATTTTTATCAGCTGTCTCTTTTGCTAAAAAGTAATTATTCTCAACCTCTAATTATTTCAAATTAGATTTTAAACTCTCCATAATTATTAACATACTTGTAATCTAGTCTGAAAGTTAACTATATGAAAGTGATATTACTATTTAAGTGGGTAAATCAGTTTTCTTGCTTTTTTATTCATTCTCAGAAGATGGCTTGGAGCATCTCTGAAAATCTCTAGAATGATATGCCATATATAATTAATTCAGAGTAATAATAATGATACCTTGCCATTTTACAGTTTGCTGAGCTTTTAAATACATACCTTCTCAATTATAATTTTAATACCATCCTCATTAAGTATGTATTTAATATCCCTACATTATATATGAGGAAACTAATGTTTAAAAAGACTTGGAGTAACATGAGTAATGTGGTCAACTGGCCAATTGGGACTTTAACCCAGGTCTTCTGTTTGCAAATCCAGCCCTGCTTTCTTTCACCACAGTTACCTGGGTATTGGCAGCCTTTTTTTTAATGGATCATAGAATTCAGGTTGATTTACGGTTCTGTGAATACACACCTGTTTGACTTGGTATGAGTACAAAAAGCTAATGTATTTGTTTATTCATATATTTATTTTTATTAAAAATAAGTATATTTCTTTTGTCCACATTAACTAGAGAGAGGTGTATTTTCTGTTGAAAACATGAAGGTAAATAGTGAAAGGATTGTGAAATGTTATGTCAGAAATGTAAGTAATATTAACTTTAAATGGAAATGCTAGTGTTATTAATCTCCTTAAAAGTCATTTCAAATTCTGTCTATTCCTTAAAGTACTAATAAGTTGAGGTGGGTCACAGTTGTGCTTTTCTGAAGCACAAACAGTAATTATCTCATTTATTTCTTCTGAATTATAGAAAAATATAAAAAAACATTTTCCTTAAATAGATCTATATAAGAATAAATCTAAGCAATCGAAAAAGCTTGTCTTTCAAGAAAAGGCTTCATAACTGCAAAATCAGTTTTGGCCAATTTTAGCATTTAAAAGATACTCATTTTACATACACCTTTATTTTTCTGGCCTCTAGTTCACTGTCTCATTCAGCATATTGTTGTCATCTCTGTCAGTGCAGAACACTAATTAGATAAGATATAAAAAGAAAATAACAGTCTTAAAAATTGAAAGTAGCTATTAATATTTCTTTGTAGAGGCCTTAGACATCATCAGCACTATATTTTCTCTTTTAGCAGTCTCCATGTTTTCTTCCTTCCACAAATACATATTTAAAATTTTTTTTTAGTTTTCTAAGACTATGTAATGGATAATTATATTCTTTAATAGTTAATAATAAGGATTTTCTCTTTTATAATGACTTCATTTGTAGTGTTATTCTTTTGTGCTAAAATAATTCCATAATTGTTTTTCATGACACACAGTTTGTATAATGAAGCAAAGAATGCTTTGTGAGGACAGATTATATTGTTACGAGAAATGTTCCGTGTGATTATTTTTAGTTGTCAGCCATGTTTCATACGTTCAAGTAATGATTCCTGTATTAGCATTTATTAATCATCTTTAATGGGGAATGTGAACAATCCGGTGCGTTAAACTTGTATTTAGAAATTATTACTTAAAACAACTATTTTAAGTAAAATTGGTTAGTGCTATAAATATAAAACTTTATAGAACTCAATTTCCTAGTGAGAAATACCAGAGTGGTAAAATTGCAAACTTGCATAAATGAATCATACTTCATATATTAGGTCATGAAGTCTAGAAGTTTTTTTACTAAAAATAAATTTCCAGTCTTTTTCTGAATTTTTCTTGTTTTAGCTATTTCATATGTTAAGCAGTGTTTAGTCTATCCAAAGGTATAAGGTATAAGCATAATGAGCACATTTATTTCCTTTAAAAAAATTTTAACAATAACATTAGAAACTAAAACTTCTGGGTTTGATTCCTTGTCCTTTTACTAATAGCTGTGTGAATTTTGGCACCTCTTTTAGTTTCTCCCATCTTAGTTTCTTTATAAAAGAGGGATAATTGTACCTATCTCACAAGATTATTATGCTTGTTAATATGAGAACTATAGGTTAGTGAACTTCTATTCATATCTATGAACCTGTCATTGTATCTGAGTGATAGTAAGTGGTTCAGTACATGTTAGTTGAATGAATGTTTATACCTGTAAGCAAGGGATGGAAAGAAAAACACACAGAAGAAAAAGAACATGTGATCTTAGTTGGTGAAGGTAAGTTTAAACATGTAATTACTTAATGTGATTACACATCATGAACTAGAAAATCTAAGGTTACACTGTCTTAATTTATTAAATGTAATTTTCATTATTTTGATTATTCTCAGGCAGAAAAGGCTAGCTTGGTTCACTTACTGGATTTCCTAGGTATGATTTTTCTCACAATGATTTGGGCTGTTTGTCCTCGAGATAGTTTTGCACTCTTGGGCCAGTGGATACAGTCTAAACTGCAGGAGGTAAGTGTGAGACAATAAGTTGGATTTTTAAAGGTATGTGGTGAGGATATTTTAAAGATTACTATAAAGTAACAGATACAAGAGATGTTTTCACGTATCATGAAATATAGCTACTAATTTTTAGTCATATGTTTTCTCATTTTTAGGGGACATTCTTAAAAATGAGCATTCAAATTAGAAAATACTACATCTTTTAAATGATGGAGATAGATGGGTTTCAAGGGCATAGCAATTTTTGGCTAACATAATATTTAGGGGCAGAGTGTTCTATAGTTATTGGTCTTAGAGAAAACCCGGTCACAGATCCTTTCTTTCCTTTTGTCACTTTACCTTCAAACTTTTCACTTTTGTCTCTCATAGTGACTGTGGTATACTTTCTGGATGACTCTCCCTTCTCCCAAACGTTTGCATTTTGATGTAGAACTCTTAAAACCTGTAAATTTTTATGGGCACAGAATTAGCTAAAGCTGCTTTACCATCCTCATCCTCTTACTCCCAGTTATACTAAGATTACCTGCACAATAGTGAAAGGATAATCTTACTAGGTGTTTGTTCACTTTCATTTCTAGTACTTATGTATAATGGTGTTCATGTCATAAAATTTACTGAGGCCCGCATTTTGTTCAGAACGCTTCACTACTGAAAGTAGGTCTTGCGGTTTTGATAATTGCTTGGTTAACTATGATTAATTATTTTATTTTACATCTTTCTTCACATGTTTCCTCTTGTCCTGGGAGGTTTGGTTATTCAGGAACAATCTGTTATTTGTTTATTTAATGATTTGTGGAGCACCATCATTGTGCCACCTGGGTACTGTTTAAATCTAATGTGTAAAATTCTTTGAGACAAATTGCTTTTGAAATTGGATAACTAAGTCTTTTATTCAGTGTTACCATATCATTTGGCTGCATTTATATTGAAATAAAGGCTCTTAAAGGGGAAAAAAAAGAATGGTTATTGCTTAGGTTATAGGATTTCATATTTTGAATTTTATTTCCATTATGTGTCGGGAAGTCAAAGGAGTTAATGTAGTGTTTACCCCATTTATCAATACATCACTTTTTTCTGTATTGGAATCTGAAGATTTTGTTATAGGAAATATAACCTGTGGCTGTTTTTTCTTTAAAATAGTTGATGAAGGGGTGCCTGTGTGCCTCAGTGGGTTGAGCATCGACTCCTGATCTCAGCTCAGGTCATGATCTCACAGTTCAAAGTTCAAGCTTCAGGTCAGGTTTTGTGCTGATGGCTTGGAGCCTGCCTTGGATTTTATCTTTCCTTCTCTCTGCCCCACCCCACTTGTGCTCTCTCTGAAAAAAATTAAAAAAAAACTTGATGAATCCTGCTACTTCATATACTAATTAATAATTAAACTAAAAATAAAGTGATTACTTCTCTTTGAACTTTTCTTCCTTAAATCAAGCCCCACCCCCACCCCCATGATTTTGGTGATGGGGAAATGTTTCTTTCTCTAGAAAGCCTTGTTCCTTGTGATTGAAGAGCAGGAGGGGATGCTGATAGTGAATCATTAAAGAGGGGGAATTGCTGACATTTATTTGCCAGAAAAAGGAAGAGATGAAGGAAGAAGGAGGGGCCTTTACATAACCAACCATTGGGGAGTCCTCTATTTTTGTAATTTTAAAAGATTTAGGTATAATGTAGCAGCCGTCATAGCGTGCTACCAGGTATTAATTAGTAGTAATTACAATAGCTAATATTTATTGAGTACTTACTATATGTTAGGCATTAGGATAAGCACTATAATTATGTACAGAGGTTAAGAATACAGGCTGTGAACAGATGGACTTGTGTTTGAATTTAGGCTGTTAGACCTAAGTTCTATACTGGGCAGATTACTTCACTAATTATAGGTCTCAGTTTCTTCATCTATAAATGGGCATAATACTGGCTACTCAAAGCACTGTTGTTGGTTTAATGATACATTTAAAATAGGACCTATTTTTTGTTTAAGTTTTTATTCATTTTGAGAGGACGGGGAGGTGCAGAGCGCGAGAGAGAATCCCAAGCAGATTCCACAGGGTCAGTGAGAATCCCAATGCAGGGCTTGAACCCACGAACCTTGAGATCATGACCTGAGCCAGAATCGAGAGTCGGATTTACGCTTAACTGACTGAGCCATCCAGGCATCCCTAAAGTAGGATCTCTTAATCTAAACACTGACATTTTGGACTGGATAATTCTTTGTTGTGAGAAATTGTCCTGTGCATTGCAGGATGTTCAGTAGCCTCTAAACATCTACTGTAAATATCTGACCTCTACCCACTAGATGCCAGTAGCACTCCCCCTGCCCAACAGTTGTGATGATCATAAATGTCTCCAAACATTTTTATATGTCCCTGGGGGACAAAATCGCATCCAGTTGAGAACCAGTGATTTAAAGCACTTAGCACGGTACCTACCTAGTAAAAAATGAGGACTCAATAAATAGGAGTTATTATCATTTGCTCATTTTATCCTGTCTGCAACTCTAGGAGGTTGGTCCTGTGCTACTCCATTTTACATATGATGCTACTGGGCTTAGATGGGTTAAACAATTAGCTGAGGGTTAACAGTTAATAAGTGTCAGCATTTGGACTTAATGTAAGTTTCCATCCTTAAAAAAAAAAAAAAGCCAATGTTTTAAACCAGTTATACTATCAGTAGACTTGATGGACCCCTGCAGACTGCTCATTGAGAGTGAAGACACTATGTAATATAGTTCAACAACCTAAAAAGTCATGATCGAGAAGGAAGAAAGTCCTATCTCATGGTTATATACTAGATTGATTATATTATTTCTAGACATCACTGACATGTAGCTACCTCTGTGAAATTGTTTCCCCTATTAATAACTCTGTTCTCAAAAGTCCTGCTTATTGATCCATCTCCTACAAATTTTAGTACTTACTGAAAATTAGAATTTAACTGGAAAGCATTCACATAAATACAAGTAATTAGGGAAGTTAAAGTTACGATATCTATTTGTATTTTTTTATTGAAGTTGGAAGAAAATTTCATTTTCCTAACTAATCAATACTTAGAAAGACGGAGTGAAGATAATTTATCAAAGAAGGAAAATTCTGCTCTCTGGTTAATTTTCTAACTGAAATAAATTCTCTAGTAGTGTCAGTGGTTATTACATAGCCATATTTTTTCAATTTTCTTTTAAAACTGCAAGGTCAGAATGTTCCTTGGCCATAATAAAAGCTTGCGTTAAGAAGCTTTCTTAGGAAATCCTCTCCTTTCTTAAAATTCATGTTATGTCACTTCACTTTTAGGCTTTTTCATAAAAGCAAACATACTCTTTGGATTTCTTTTGGTTAGTGAGAACACGTTCTAATGTAGGTCTTTTTTAAAAGCAAAGTAGCATAAGGCAAACTTTTGAAAGAGGGGTATACCTGTATAGTAGTAACCCCTCCCCCAATATTATCCATAGGGCTGAGGGAGGGTGGGATATATTCCCACCACTGGTTTCCTAAAGCCTCAGATAGTACCATATCCTATTTACAGTATGGGTTTTTTTCTATACATACATACCTATGATAAAAGTTTGTAAGTTAAGCACAGTAAGAGATGAATTGTTCTATAAATAGAACTATTATAATATACTGTAAAAACAAGTTACATGAGTGTGGCCTTCTCAAAGTATCTTACTGTACTGTATTCACCATCTTGTGATAATGTGAGATGATAAAATGCCTATGTGGTGAGATAAAGTGATGTGAACAATGTAGGCACTGTGACGTGGTGTTAGGCTGCTATAGACCTCTGACAGTATGTCCGGAGAACCATCTGCTTCCAGATCACAGTTGAGCGGGTATCTCCAACCGTGGAAATTGAAACTGTGGGTAAGGGAGACTACTGTACTCTATAAAATACTATAGACTCTCTAGAAGTCTGTAGGCCTAATTTTTTATGTTTTTAAAATATTAATATCTGATGGAGGAAATAAAGACTGTACTTTATGTTTTATACCATGGTGTTCTTTCTTTCTTTCTTTTTTTTTTTTTTTGTTTAAATGTTTATTTATTTAAGAGAGAGAGAGGCAAGCGAGCACAAGGAAAGGGCAGAGCAAGAATCTCAAGCAGGCCCAGCACTGTCAGTACAAAGCCTGAGGCAGGGCTTAAACTCACAAACTGTGAGATCATGACCTGAGCCGAAATCAAGAGTTGGATGCTTACCAGCTGAGCCACCTAGGCACCCCTACCATGGTGTTCTTTAAGTGTCAGTCATCGCGAGCATAAAACCTTTATCCTAGATACTCCATGAAATTAATTTTAAAAATCTCACTTTGTTACTTATTTTGTTGTGAAATGATAAATATCCTTAATGAAACTTCTTCTTACTTCTTCTTAGTATATGTTTGATAGACCATACAGTAGAACTTTGGAGGCTGAAGCTGACAAAATTGGACTACAGCTTGCTGCAAAGGTAAAATGTTTAGTAGTTGAGACTACACAGTGTCCTTCACACAGTAAAAGATAAATACACATTGTCTTAATGAGCTGTGGTATGAGGAGAGAATGAGAGCTGTATGAAATTTTTCATTAATACCTTTTAAATTTGTGCCCTCTGTAAACTGATACACTATCTTTATTTCACTATTCTCCCTTGTTTCACTGATCTAAGAAGGCTTGAGTAAAATAACGTAAGACTATTTTTCCTCCCCTCAGAGAAAGGTTTATGCTATTGTAGCTATGATCCCAGATGAGCAGATTGAATTTTTACCTTTTAAATAAATGGTAGAGGAGCAGACTTATTACTCTGTGTCTTTGAGATTATTTTTATTGCAGCCAATGACTTACATTTGCTAGGCACAGAGAGCAGCCCTGGGCCTTTACTATGATTTAGGTTGGCTTTGTTCATGTCTCCTTTACAGGGCACTTCATGTCTGGCTCCTATTTTTATCATCTGTGATAACTGATATTATTAGTAGTAGAATTTAATATTAGAAGCAAAACTGCATTTTTAAAGCGGAGTAAAAACAATGCCACTTTGTACATTAAATTCAAATTGTATTTGATCTTTGTTGAGTTTCCAGTAGTTATTAAAAAGTCCTAGGTATAAAAATAAACTATTATATGAACTTCTAGTTAGTTTTATGGATTTAATTTCATAAATGAAGATACTACTATTCACAAAAGCAAAAGTAGTTATTTGAATGTTACGTAATAAGACTTAAGTGAATTCTCTGACTACATAGATTAAGAGGTTCCCAAATAGTGGACCACAGATTGGCTATAAAGGTAAGAGTGTTTTGTGTTCTGGTTAAGAAATCTTGGCCTATTTCAATAAATTGTTCCTGTTTTATTTCCAAGAAGCTTATTGTTTTATTAGCTTTTTAAAATATAAAATGAGGAAGAAGTCAAGATAATTTTTTTCCAATGTGGATATCTAATAGCCTCAGGACTGTTTATTGAAGAGTTATCTTTTTCCACTATTCTTGAGTGTCTCTTTGTCATAAATGTGGGAGGCTATATAGGAGTCTATTTCTGGACTCCCTATTGTATTCTCTTGGCCTCTTAATCTGTCTCTGAGCCAATACTGCATTGTCATGTAGCTTTGTAGTAAGACATGATACCTGGTAACTTCTGTCTTCCAGTGTGGTTCTGCAAGATTGATTTGGCTATTCTTAGTCCTTTTCCTTTCCATATACATTTCAGAATCACTTTATCAAATTACATGCCTGTATAAAAATACGCTTGGAATTTTGATGGCAATTGGGTGAATTTGGAGATAGTTGACTACTGTCAAAAATACTGAGTCTTCCTGGGAAGTGTGGGTGGCTCAGTTGGTTGAGCATCCCACTCTGGATTTCAGCTCAGGTCATGATCTCAGGGGCATGCGATTGAGTCCCACATCAGGCTCTACACTGACAGAATGGAGCTTACGTGGGATTCTTTTTCTCCCTCTCTCTCTGCTCCTTCCCCGTGCTCTCTCTCTCAAAATAAATAAACACTGAAAAAATAATATTAAATCTTCCAATCCATGAATGATATATTTGTCCATTTATATGGATATTCTTATAATTTTAGTGATGTTTCTAAATGTTTGTGTGTGTATGTGTATAGGAATTATACATCTTTTGTTAGATTTATTGCTAAATATTTGACATTTTAATTGTAAAGTGTTATTTAAAAAATACACTTCTTCATATATAGAAATGCACTTTATTTTTATAAATGACCTTGCATCTAAAAACCTTGCTAAATCCACTTAATTCTGATAGTGTGTAGATTCTTTTAGATTTTATATATACACATTTATGCTGCCTGTGAATAATGACAGATTTAGTTCTTCCTTTCCGGTCTGTGTACTTTCTGTTTTTGTTTTTTTGTTTTTTTTTACCTTATTGCAATGGCCGGAAACTTTAGTACAATGTTGACGGTGAGCACCTTTGTTTCTTCATCACCATTTTTCACCATTCTGATGTCTAAGTTGTTTTTCTTTTAATCTGACTTTTTAGAAGAGTTTCCCTGCTATTTCTAATATGCTAAGAGATTTTTTAAAATTATGAATAACAAATTTTATCAAATACATTTTTTATATTGATTATATCATTTTTCTCCTTTAATCTCTTAATGTGGCAAACCATATTGATTTTTTTTACGCACTAGGACAACTTTTATTTTTGAAGTAAACCCAATTTTATCAATAATATTGTTCTTCCAATATATTACTGAAGTTGGCTTGCTAATGTTTAGCTTAGAATTTAGAATGTTTTATCTGTATTCATAAAAGACAATGGCTTGGCCTTTTCTTTTCTTGTAATGTCCTGTCAGGTTTTAGTATCAAGATTATGTTGGCCTCATATAATGAGTTGGGAAGTGGTTTTTTCTTTTCTCTGGAAGAGTTTGTGTAACGTTAGTGATATTTATTTTTTAAATGTTTGGAGATTTTGTGGGTAGAAACCATACAGATTTATTTTTTTTTAAGTTTATTTATTTTGAGAGAGAGAGAAAGAGAGCAAGTGAGTGGGGAAGGGAAGAGAGAAAGAGGGAGAGAGAATCCCAAGCAGGCTCTGCACTGACTATGTGTAGCCTGACACAGGGCTCTAACTCACGACTGCGAGATCATGACCTGAGCCAAGATCAAGAGTCAGACTCTTAACCAACTGAGCCACCTAGGTGCCCTGGGCTTACAGGTTTCTTTGTGGGATGGCCTTTAGTTGTAGATTCAGTCTCTAATAGATATAGAGCTACTCACATTTTTCTGTTTTGTGTCAGTTTTTATAAGTTTTGTTTTTCTAGGAACTTCTGTTTTGTTTAAATTTTCAACATTATTATGAAGTTGTCTAATATACATATATATTTGTGTTTTGTATTTTTTATTGAAGTATAGTTGACACAATATTACATTAGTTTAATGTATACAAGACAGAAGTTCTACAACTCTGTATTTTATGCTCACTGTACGTGTAGCTCCATCTGTCACCATGCGATGCTGTCACAGTACCATTGACTATATTCTCTGGTATATCTTTCATTCTGTGACTTATTCATTCCATAACTGGAAGCCTGTTTCTCCTGCTCCTTCGTCTATTTTTGCCTGTCCCCTCACCCCTCTCTGCTGCCAGCCATCAGTTTGTTACCTTTACCATATATGTATTTTTTTAGAAGTTTATTTATTTTGAGAGAGAGAGAGACAGCATGAGTCGGGGAGGGGCAGAGAGGGAGGTTGAGAGAGAGAATCCCAAACAGGCTCCATGCTGCCGGCATAGAACCCAACGTGGGCTTGAACTCACTGAACTGTAACATTTTGACCTGAGCCGAAACCAAGAGTCACGGACACTTAACCGACTGAGCCACCCAGGTGCCCCCCTCCCTTACTATATTTTTAATGTCTCAAGGATACTGCATTCCACAGATATATTTTATTTATTTTTTTAAAAGTTAATACAGGGGCATCTGGATGGCTCAGTTGGTTAAGCTTCCAACTTTAGCTCAGGTCATGACCTCACAGTTTGTGAGTTCCAGCCTCCTGCTCAGAGCCCACATTGGACTCTGTGCTGACAGCTCAGAGCCTGAATCCTGCTTTAGATTCTTTGTCTCCCTCTCTGCCCCTCCCCCACTCACACTCTGTCTCTCTCTCAAAAATAAATAAACATTAAAAATTTTTTTTAAGTTAATAGAGTTTTTAAATATATTTTTAAAATGTTTGTTTTTGAGAGAGAGACCTGACAGCACAGAGCCCGACGAGGAGCTCAAACTCATGAGGCTGGAACCCACAAACCATGAGGTCATGACCTGAGTGGAAATCAGACACTTAACTGCCTGAGCCACCCAGGCGCCCCAAAAGTTAATATATTTTTATTTCAGGAGTTTCACATGTTGTGATTCCTCCCACTGCCAACCACCTTGGTTCTTCCAAAGTTTAAGTAGTAATTTTTAAGTCAGCCCTTTTTTTTAAAAAGAAGTTTTGCTCAGTCCATAGTTCTTTTAGTTGAGCTTCTTTGATCTCCACTTGAATATGGACATGTTGTAAAAATTCTCCAGCTGTAATATTTGGGATCCAGTTTCTTCAAGCAATTTTCCTTAGGGCCATGCTTAGGATCTGAGTAAATAGATCTGCCTAGTTCTCAATTTCAGACACCCTCTAAACATGAATAAGTTCAAACCATATTTACTCTTAAACTGTCACACCCTAGAATAGTACAGATTGTTGGAATGTGCCAATACCTAAGATTAAAATAATTTGACTGTTAGCAGATCTGTTTCATAGTTTCCACAGATAACACACGTTTCAGGATGTATATTTTCTGTCATTGCCTTGTAGTTCATTAATCTTACTTTCAGCTGTGTCCATTATGCCATAAACTCATCTTTGACTTTTACAGTTTAGTTACTGTATTTTTCCATTCTAGAATTTCCATTTGATTCTCTTTTATAAATTTCAGTTCGCTGGTGAAATTCTGTTTTGTCATAACTTTCTTCATATTTTCTTGAATATGTTTATCATAATTTTTTTAAACCTTCATGTTTGTTAACTATTATTTTTATTAACTTTCGGTCTGTTTCTTTTGTCTGTTTTTTGCCTTTGGTCTTGTTTCTTGGTATGCTTGCCCATTTTTTATCAAATTCTGAACATTTCATATAAACAGTACTTTTGGCTCTGAATGATAATTTATTCCATCACCGAGGATTCTGCCTTTAGTCTGGAGAACCAACTAGAATAAAGCGGATTCCTTCAGTCAGTCACAGCCTGAGCTGAGTCTTCTTAAATTTCAATTTGCTTCTACTTCACCTTCATTCATAAGGATATTACTGTCGGGAAGTCTACTAAAGGAATGGAGGATTGACTAAGTTCCTTCTCTGTAGTGGTTTTTGAACTTCAGTTTTTTGTTCTGCCAGCACCATGAGGATGTTGAAATCTCAGTTTTCATCCACTTTTTGTTTTGAAAAGTACCCTATGCAGCTTTAGAATTCATAGGC